GGGACAATTTACGCAACAACCATGGGACAGCCCGCGGGGCAACCCACGGGACAACCACGAGACAAGCCACGGGACAACCCACGGGAGAACCGCAGCACAACCCACGGGACAACCACGGGACAACCCGCGGAACAGTTGCAGGACAACCCACGGGACAACCGCGGGACGATTGCGGGATGACCGCGGCAAGGCGCCGCGGGACGGCCCCAGCCCTGGCCGACGCATCCTCGCCCTCGCGCAGCTCCGCCCCCGCCGGCGCGCACGGCACACACGGAAACCGAGGCCGACGTCCCGGTTGGGACCGCTCTCTTCCTGGCCTCGAGCACCCGCCCGTCTGTACGACGTCCGATGCCGCGTGCCGGGTCTTTTTGAGTTTCGCGCCTCCAGGGTGCCCTGGGTTTCTTGGGTTTCGGTGGTCTTGCGATGAGAAGCGTGACGTTTCCGCACCAGAGATCGATGGGCGTCCTGGGGTCTCAGGGTTGGGTTTCTCGTGGAAGGTTTCTTGTGGTCTGGCCCCTGCTGTAAGGCAAGTATGGTCTGAACCGGCGCTTGCGATGATCAGCAAGCGCACCCAGCCAGAGTCTCAATTCGACGATTCGCCGCACTTGCGGCTCCCGTCTTGGCCTTTGCCTCGTCTCCCCCTTGTCGTTCTGTCTCGTCTCCCCGGCTCTGGAGCGCCACATTGACCCACAGGACGCGCGTTGTTCGAGATATCTTCGTGTAGCAGGACGTATTTCTGGGCACAGGTCCGAAAGTCTCCTGGGTGGTCTCGGACCCCCATGCAGAGCACGTGGGATATCATGTCGGTCGAGAAGTCTCCTGGTAGTTTTTGGAGAGTGCATATTGGCCTCGCAGACGGCCGAGATAGCCTCAGACGGACGCCCAGACGGCCTTAGAGGGCCCAATTTCACTCCAAGACGGTCCGCTTCCACGTTGCTGCGAAGCGTCTGAGGCGCAGGCTTTGTTCCCGCCTCGGTAAGGCCTGCTTGCGCAGTGGCTCAAGCCGCAAGTGGCACTCGTCATGAGCGCAGACAACCGAGACGCTTTCTGCGGGCCCCGAATCTGCGATGTGGGTAGCCGGGGCGTCATCAAACTGCCTTGGGGCGGCGACGACGAGCAGGAGTGGCCGGATGGTGTGCGAGCCCCCCTCTATTTCATCGCTCTGGTGTGGTGTTTCATGGGTGTGGCGCTCATCGCGGACGTCTTCATGGGCGCTATTGAGCACATTACGTCAACGAGGGTGCGGAAGTTCTCCACCAAAACGGGCCGCCACGTCACCGAGATGGTGTGGAATCCCACAGTGGCGAATTTGACCCTCATGGCGCTGGGCTCCTCCGCGCCGGAGATATTGCTCAGTGTCATCGAGCTGCTGGGCAACGACTTCTACAGCGGCGACCTGGGACCCTTCACCATCGTTGGGAGCGCCGCTTTCAACCTCTTCGTGATCATTGCCGTCTGCGTAATGTCGATCCCGGACGGCGAAGTGCGGAGCATCAAGGAGATGCCGGTGTACTTCACGACCGCGATCTGGTCCTTGTTTGCGTACTTGTGGCTGATTGTGATCTTGGATGGGTCGTCGCAGAATGTCGTCGAGCCTTGGGAGGGAATTCTGACCCTAGGGTTCATGCCAGTGCTTGTCGTGATGGCCTTCATGGCGGACAAGGGGTACATATTCAGCAGTTGCTCGGACAAGAAGGAGAGCGACGAGGAAAGTGTTGTGGCAACGTGCATGTCAAATGAGGATCTGGCCAAAGCCGTTGCTAGAATTAAGCAGCAACACGAGACGAATGGTAAGCCCCTGTCTGACAGAGTTGTGGCAAAGCTCATCGATCATGAGTATTCTCAGCCTATGAGTCGTGCGCACTACCGTGTGGCAGCGATCCGTTCCATCACTGGTGGAAAGCGCCTAGCAAGCCAAAAGAAATCTATGATTGGACGAACAATGGAATTCTTAGCCACTACGAGCAGAAACGGCAGCACCATGATCGGAAGGCGCCAGGTGGCGCCAGAACCAGACGGACAGGACAAAGGTGGCAAGGTAATGGACTTGGCAGACGAAGAGCAAGCTCTGAAGACAAGTGTCCAATTCGCAGCGCTCAGCTATGCTATGGTCGAGAACGCTGGTTCCCGCGATGTGTTCGTGGAGCGGAGTGGCAATCTTGACAAGAAGATTCGGGTCAAATTCAGCACACGAGATGGGACCGCTAAGGCGGGCGATGACTACATAGAGCAAAGTGGTGAACTCATCTTCGATACGGGCGTCAAGTTGCTCCCCATCAGGCTCCAAATCGTCGACGACACTGCGTTCGAAGATAACGAGCACTTCTTCGTCGACCTTCTATACCCTGGCATCATTGATGCCGATGGGAAGGTCACTAGCGTCGACGCTAGCGGACACAGCGTGGCGATGGGCGAGACTGCTACTACGACTGTAGTAATCATCGACGACGACTTGCCTGGACAGCTCCGCTTCAAGGGCGACAGCAAGGGGGATGACCATCTCACCATCAAGGATGGCCCCGAGGACTTCACGGTGAATCTGCTCGTGGAGCGAAGCAACGGTTGCGACGGGCAGGTGACGTGCAAGTATCCAGCTGCTTGCGGCAATTCCCGCAACCGTGCTCGTGGGGCGCACAGGGGAGGCCGTCATGTGTGACAGGGGGTGTCCCGGGGCTTGGGAGAGCCGTAGCACGTGGCGCAGTCCTCGGTGCCGCGTCAGTGGGTCGCTTCTGGTCCTCGTCGTCGCCTTGCGTCTTCTCGCGAGCTCTCGTGGGGCAGTCTTGGGGGTCTCTTGGGGGCACGCTGGGCCGTCCTCCGGCCCTTGGGGGCCGTCTTCGGGCCCTCTCTGGGCAGTCGTGGGGCCATCTTTGGGCAGCCGTGGTCCGTCGAGGGGCTCGCCAAGGCTGTGGTGGGCCCCTCTGGAGGCCCTCCTGTGGGGCCAGCTTGGGGCTCTCCTGGGGCCGTCCTGCGGCCGTCCTGAGGCCATGACGGGGTATTGCATCGCCATGCGGGGGGGCTTTCTGGGACCGCCTTGGGGCCGTCTTGGGGGCCTCTGGGGCCGTCTGGAGCTGCAGGAAGCCCGAAAGCGTGACGACGCCAAAACATGTGCGCAGCCCATGGGACGTATTTGACGTTGGCTTCTTCGGGCCCTACTGGGAGTCATCCTGTGGCCCTCTTGGGCCGTATTGGGGGCCTCTTAGGCCGTCTAGAGGGCGCCTTGGGGCCAGATTGGGTTGTCTTGGACCAGCTTGGCGATCTTGGTGGCCCGTCTCTGCCGTTTTGGAACTTCGGGAGCGCGGGCCCATCGTGTTTTGCCAGGTATCGTGGCCTCGCGAGCGCGGATCGTGGCAACGTGAGCGCGGAGTCCATGTGGTTGTGGCTGTTGCTGCTGCTGCTGCTGCTGTTGGGGTGCGTGGCCTCGGGAGCGCGGATCTGTCGTTCTCTGACCAGTGATCGTGGCTTGGGGGGAGGGGGGGGGGGACGCACGCAGAAGTCCGCGGGTGGAGGGGCGGGCCTGTTCGCAGATCGCACGGGCCTCGCCAGCCAGCCCTTGGCATCATGCCACGCCTCTGCGTGCCGGGGAGCGGGGTGGCGGATAAGACCGAGGACGCGACCGCGAAGGCGGGGGTCGACTACGTGGCGACGGAGGGGACGCTCGTGTTCGAGAACGGCGTGATCCAACAGACCATCCCGTGCATCATCAAGGGATCAGGCCGCTACGAGCGTAAGGAGTTCTTCCGCGTGGTCCTCTCGGACGTGGAGGGCGGCGCCACATTCGATCCCGAGTGTGATGGGTGCAAGGACAAGTGCTGCATCTTGTCGGTCTTCCTCGAGTGCAGTGGGGAGGAGGCCAAGGAACGCGTCGACCGCGTCTGGCAGAAGCTCCAGCGGAGGTGGGATAAGTCTCGGCTCGGGCACTCCAATTGGAAGGAACAGTTCATGGCTGCGTTGTATGTGAATGGCTCGGGTCCAGAAGAGGAAGTCATGGGAAATGCTGATTCTGACGAGGCATGTTCTCCGAGGTATTCTGAGGTGTCGGCATTGTCGTCAGATATGATAGAGCAGCCTAGTGTGGCAGACTACACCATGCATTTCATCACCCTTCCTTGGAAGCTGCTCTTCGCCTTAGTGCCGCCAACCGACTACTGTGGTGGCTGGCTCAGCTTCGTGTGCTCCTTGCTGATGATCGCGCTCGTCACCGCGGTCATCGGTGACTTGGCCGCACTCTTTGGCTGCGTGCTCGGCGTTCCGGACGAGGTCACTGCGATCACATTCGTGGCGCTTGGCACCTCGTTACCGGACCTCTTCGCGTCGAAAACGGCAGCCGTGCAGGATCCCAGCGCCGACGCATCGGTTGGCAATGTCACAGGGAGCAACTCCGTCAACGTCTTCCTCGGACTGGGCCTGCCATGGACGATTGGCTCGCTCTACTGGTCTTGGAAAACGCCCGATGCGACGTGGGTCCAAAAGTACGCGCCACCAGCAGGCATAGAGTCCCTGGTCCCGATCCCTTCGCGATTCCGCGGCGGCGCCTTCGTTGTCAGGTCTGGCGCGTTGTCCCCCAGCGTCGCTGTCTTCACCTGCTGCGCGCTCGCCGCCATGGGCCTGCTCTACCTGCGTCGGAGGCACTCGGGCGGCGAGCTGGGCGGGTCCAGGCACAGCAAGGTGCTGTCCGCCAGCTTCCTCGTGAGCCTGTGGGTGGTGTTCGTGGCGCTGTGCTCCTACTTCGCCCTGGATGGGCGGCTCTGTGACTGACGCACGGGGGTCGTTGCCAGGCCCGCTGCCCCCGAGATGTCGGCATGCCGCGGCTGTGCCTGCCCGCGAAGGCGAGGCAGCGCACGGTGGCGAGGGGGAGCTTGCGCCGGCATTCGCGCGCAAGCCGCCCGCGCAAGGCCGCGCGTAGATCGCCCTCGTCTGCTCCTCCTCCTCCTCCTCCTCCTCCTCCTCCTCCTCCTCCTCCTCCTACTCCTACTCCTACTCCTACTCCTACTCCTACTCCTACTCCTACTCCTCCTCCTCCTCCGCCTAATACTCCTCCTCCTCCCTCGTCCATCCCCCCACCCTCCCCCTTCTCCTCCTCCTCCTCCTCCTCCTCCTCCTCATCATCATCATCACCATCATCATCATCATCAGCATCAGCCAGTGGTCGTCCTCTGTCTGCTGCATGTCGAGACTTCTTGGGGCTTGCTCGTGTGATCATCTTGGGGATTTCTGTGGCGTTCTTCGGCTTCTCCTTGTCACTGGAAAGCGTTTGGGGCCATCCTGGAGAGGTCTTGGGCCCTCGTGGAGCTATCTTGGGCCCTCGTGGAGCTATCTTGGGCCCGTCTTGGGGGCCCGCTGTGAGCTTCTGGGCCCAACTGTAGGCCATCTGGGGTCGCTTGGGCCGTCTTGGAGGTCTCTCGGGGGCCTCTTGGACGCTCTCGGGGGCGCATTCTGGGAAAATCTTGTAGCCATGGTAGGGCCACCTTGGCTCACATTGGGTTTATCCTAGAGCCAACTCCGGCCCTCTTGGATTCTATCTTGGAGCAGTTCTGTCGGGTCGGAAGAGCGTCTGCAAGTCGCTTTGAGCCGTCTTGGGGCAGCGTTGGGCCCTGGAAGCCATATCAATTGCTTGTTCGGTAGATCATGACCCTGGAAGCTGACACATCGTTATTCACGATGGATCGTGTCCCTGAGAGCGCATGATCAATCGCGATGTCTACGTGCCCAGGAGAGTGGCCACGCAGAACCCTTCCATCAAGCGGCGGAACCCACGGAGGCCACCACTTACTTCGGCGGGTCCCTTGCGAGCCTTGGCCGTGCTAGGCCCCGAGGGTTGACGATGAAGTGATGGTGCGTTTGAGGGTGGTGAGATGCATGCATGAATAAATGCGCGGCTTCGCGCTTTCGACTGGCCCATCGACCAGCCCATGCGTGTGACAGCTCCTGAAGCACGAAGAGTACAAGGGACTCGAAGCTCAATTCTCGTAGGAGTCTGAATTCAGCACACCCGTCGCGCACCTCGTGCACCATGGGTGCTCAGCTGGCCCTAGGAGACGGCTCCTTGGGGCTTCCATTCGGCACAACCATTACACACTTCGTGTCCCGCGGACCGCGAGGGGCGTTCCGCTGGCCATCGAGACGGCTGAACGGCACACCTCACACATTTCGCGCCTCGTGGAAACCCAAAGGCCCTCAGCTGACCCCTCAGGCTGCTCAACAGAGCTTCGAGTCGGCATGGACCCCCAACCAAAGGCCCCATGTTGACTCGTGAGACCGCCTGCCCCCCCAAGGGGTACCAAGATGGCCCCGAGAAAACTTGCAAAGAGTCCCCCCTTCCCTCCCTCCCTCCCTCCCTCCCTCCCTCCCTCCCTCCCCCTCCTCCCCCTCCTCCCCCTCCTCCTCCTCCCTCTCTCCCTCCTCCGCCTCTTCCTACCGACCCTCGTCGAAGCCACACCCCGAATTCTAGACGCTTCGCGTATCCCCACCAGGTCCGTAGCCTGGCTCAAGCCGTCTCGGTGGGCCTGCCTCCCTCGGGGCAATCTCCCACCACTCAAGGGGGCGCCCGGACGCTTTTCCTCCCTCCGGTCCACTTCCGCTCTCCCCGGACAGGCACCGCTGCGATGGCGGACCCGCACCAGGATGCGCTCGGAGATGAGGATCCAACAGTACGCAACATGGGAGACTGTGTACTGGCTTCAATGGAGACATCTCCCCCGCAGAGTGCGCGACCGCCGCTGACACGCGAGGACGGGCCAGCACCGAGACCAACACCGCCCTTGGGGCGCGAGGAAGGAGGAAATTTACTGCCGCTGGGGGAAGGTCACGCCCCCGAGCTGAACCCTGTGCGCATTCCCGTCCCGTCTTCCCCCCCTGCTTCCCCTCGCAACGGAACGGACGTGCCGCAGCGGGCGCGAGCAATGGATGCTACTCGATCCGCGACGCTCGGAAATAGGGACGAGGACCAGTCTCGGGAGACATCCCGTGGAACTCCCCCAGCTGACGGAGCCTCATCCCCAGCCAGAGGGGATACGGACCCCCCTCAGGATGACGCAGGCCGAGACGTTCATGCTCCCCCTCCCACTTCCTATGATCCAACAGCTAACGTGGCTATCGGCCGCACCTCCTCCTCTCCTCCTCCCCCAGGGGGGCAGAATGACAGTGCGGCGCCATCCGGAATGCGACAGGTCGATCAGAGTGCGTACGACGGAGTATCCAATGCTGGGGGACCTCCTCCAGCGACGGGCACCGCCCACACGCAGGCACAGAGCAGAGCCGCGGCGCGCAGCGAGCCTGCGCCCCCCGACGGTGACTCCCCACTCCCTTGTATGTCATCGAGTCCTGCGGCTATCGGCCGCGCTTCCCTCTCCTCTCCTACCATTTCACCAGTCAACGCGGCTATCGGCTGCACTTCTCCTCACTCTCCTCCTCCCATTCCTTGCGACTTACCAGATTCAGCGGTTATCGGCTGCACCGCTCCCCCAGCTCCCCCTCGCGAATCGATGAATGACCTTGCCTCGGCACACAGACCCCCTGGTGAGGCCGAGGCGCAGGCTACCGTACCCCCCGAAGGAGCAACGGTGGGCGATGCCACTTATAGTGGAGCTGCGCAAGGGGGAGGAACAAGGTCCTCCCCCACAGCCTTCACAGCCTGGCTTCCTCGGGACGACGCGGCCGTAGAACGAGCCGCGGCCATCCCGGTGCCCGACTCAGGGGACGACCTCGAGATAACCCCCACCGTACCCTTCAACCCGAGGGGACACAGTGCTGACGGGGGGGATAGACACGAGGCTGAACGCGTACTTGATAGCATAGCAGGTGCTGACCCGGGAGGGGACATGGATCCAGGAGAAAACGAGCAAGACGACAGGCTCATATTCGAGGACGAGCATGACTGGGGTGCCGATGATGACAGCACCTCGGACTCTGACGCTTGGGGGCGGGGCCTGCCTCGAGCCTGGTCCCGAGACGCAAGGACAAGGGTGCGTAGCCCCACCGGAGAGGAAGGACACCGCGAGCCCGAGGGACGAAACCCCCATGGCCCCCCCTTCAGCGGGTAGGGAGTTGTCTCGAAATATCGACTCCCCCTCCCAAGCCCCCACAGTGATGGACCCCAGGAACACCATGAGGGGAGGCCCTCTGGCAGCCCTCCTCTCGCGGCACGAGCCAAGGGGTGGGCCGTGGAGGGTTCACAGAGTTCCCCCCCGTAGCCAGGCTATGAAAGAAGGATTGGTTGGATTGATAAGACAGCGCTGGCTCAGACACCCCCAGGAAACGCCGACTCACCAGCGGCAAGGGGAGAAGGCCAGCCTGACAGGAGCTCAACAGGACGTGGAGGCTCAGTGACCCCCCGCACCGCCGCGACAGCCATGGCTCACCTAGACCTCACATGGCTGGTCTGGTCCATCACGGGCTCCGATCACGAAGTTAGACTAGGTGGAATCGGACCAGACCCAGTCCAGATACTCGCCTTCCGATATGCCAGTCTCGCACAAGACCCAGACATCGGGGACGATATACACGAGGTCCACGAGCCTACGCAGGAGGAGATCCTAGCGGCGGAAGCAGAGCATGACACTCTCTACCACGCCGCTCTCTACGTGGACATAGGAATGTGCGAACCCACGGATCACATGTTCCTGCCAACCCTCCTAGGCATCTCCAGGTGGCGGCACGATCCGGCGCCAGACGCAGCGGACAATGGACCTACTGGCACGAACTCAGACAGGAAAGCCAGGATCTGCAAACACCTAGTCCACGAGCACCGCAGCAACTCCGTGCACTTCCCAGACCACAGTGAAGTCGGACGATGGGCAATCAGCAGAGGACACTGGGTTGATGCCGGTGCAGACGTCCTCGCAACACCGCAACAGGGCTTAAGCCGCGACGGGTGGGCGACACCAGCCATTCACAGCGCGGAGCCACAGCCCCCTGGCATACTGGGACCCAGAGATTTTGAAGGTGACAACCCAACAGGACCATGGCCCGTCAACAGCACTTCCCAAAAGATCCTGAGGGGGGACTTTTTCCAACCCCAAGACAGATGTGGAAGCTGCGGATGCTGGCGCATGAGACAGGACGCGAGCATTTGCATCGTGTGTCACAGACTAGGTTCAGCATGGACCACGTACACGGACAGCTCTCCCACCACCGAGCTGGAAGCCCCCAAACACCCTCTGGACCTACTGGGTACAAGACTGGAGCACGCTACGCCCCCATTGCCAGCCACATCGACAACGTGCGTCACCCAACAGAGGCCACCAATTTCTCCCCTTCGTGGCAAATAGCCGAGCTCCTCGCAGCCTGGTGCCACATGGCTGAGGCGGAGGTGGAGAACCTCGGGAGGCTGAACCGGCAGGAAGGGCGGATGCCCATCCCACCAGGACCATGGGACGACCCAGTACTCTGGGCAGCGGCCGGCTCCCTGGCCAAACTCTGCTGTGCAACGATGGCGTGGGCTATCGACACGACGACGCACCTACAGCATACTGTGCGACAACGCCCCCTCGGTGGCCAGCTTCGTGATTGGGTTCCGAGGCGCCTCCTGAACGCACCCACCGCCAGCGCGCCGGTGCAGCCCCCGCCAGCGCACCCGTGCCCGCCACGAGGCTCACGGGACCCAAGGACTAGGTACCAGCGCTGCTTCGAAGGCCTCCCAGTCGGGGAAATCGAATGGCTCCGAAGGGAAATCGGGGGTACGTTCATCGAGCAGGCACTCTCCATCACCCCGGCAGACAGGGCATGGGCGACTGACCCAAGCCTGGAAGCGATTGAAGCAACGGAAGTGGCGCGCAGAGCCGTGGTGGCGGCCGCCATAGGCAGCGGGAGATTGGTAGGGTACAGCCTGCTACCTGGAACCCCGAGAGGGGAGGCGCTGAGGTTGGCGATAGCCCTGCGGACGAGGGCGAGAGGAATCGGTGCCACGGTAGCCCGAGACGAGCGCCAACAGGGCAACGCAAGAGTGGGCGGAGGCGCAAACGCCACGAGCTCCCCAGTGCCGAGTCCGACTGCACTCCCGCCT